AATCATCCCAATATCTTGTGATACCTCTAGCTCAACCTTGAAGATTGGGGCCTGGGCTCTCGTCGGTATCTTTTGAAAAAGTTGAAAAGATTTGTTAATAACCTTTTAGAAGAACGAGACCAAGCAATATCCCAACTATCTTTAAGTAAAGGGAGAGAAGTGTTAAAAATTTTACCTGAAATGACCTTGATAGCCCTCGACTGGATCGAAAAGCTCCTCTTTTGGAATAATCATATTTCCTTGCTTAAATTTTCTCTCTAGCTAGTCCTTGAAGGTAATAGTCTTCAATTGTGTGGCCTAACATGCGATGGTATGACAAAAATAAGGGTCATCCCTTTATTCACGTCTTCCGGCTTCTTAAACTTTATTCATTTCATTCTTGAAAGATGTCAAGATAGGATATTTGGAAGGATAAGAGGTTACCTGCGACGATCGAGGAAGTGGATTTTCTGGTTGACATATTATTGATTGCTTATCCTTATGTCCAACTGATACTGATGTTGACTTTTTCTCAAAGGTTTTCTGAGGTCTAGCTATTTTCTTATCCTTTGAGTTTTTTTCCAAAATGGCAAAGAAGATACTTCCTCCTGTAGACTGTTTGCCTTATTCAATAACTTTCAAAAGTATGAATGGTGGTCCTCTTTAACAAAAATGCAATCGGACCGTGAATTTTCTTCAGTAAGATTTCTATTGTATGTTGCTCTTACAATTGCGGTACACGCTTCATAGATAAATTTCTCCATTTCAAGATGTATTCCACTAAGGATTCCCCTAGCTTTTATTCTCAACAACTAGATCACCATCTTGATATGATGCTGAGCTCTAGCAAATCTTTTCAAGAACGAATTTTCTGATTCATTAAAAGTTTTGACTGACCGACCCGTTAGGAATATTTTTATAGTAATCGAAAGCGATCCTTGAAAGATTGCTAACGAACTGTCTGGATAGTAGAGCGCCAGAACCTTCAGCATTGCAACACATAAATTGCTGGCTGAGGACAGTTGTTCTGAATTGATTGAGCTTTTAATATCTGATTCTGTATCTCTGTCTTTTTCATATCATTTCCTCCATCTTCTTTTCGAGTCTATGAATATGATCATCTTTTTTTTTTTTGAGTTGGTTTAGCAAATCTGGGTTTAAACCAACTGATTCCTCTTCCCCTTCTTCATGCTGTCTATGACTATTTTTTAATGATGATGCACTAGTGTTAACCATGAAAACATCGACATCTTAAGTACCATCCTAATCATAATCCAACATATCATCATCCTTGGGATCAAATATTTTAATCATTTCTTCTTTTTCAGAATAGTTTTTTTTTTTTCCTTTTAAAACATTGTCGATGGGGTTCCCCTCAACGTCTTTAGGATCTATGGGAAGAAATTCTCTATCATCTTTTATCATTTTCAATTCTTCCTTTTCAAATTTTCTTTTATTCTCTTGAGTTTAAGTTTCTGGATGGTCTTATTATGTTCTTCATAAATATCATCCACAGTTTTATCATTTAATTGAATTACTCCCTCTTTTTTCACAGCATTCTCCCCCTTAACTATCACTGTTCTGGTAGTCAAAAGAGTGACACTCACTATGGGTGGTGTATGTGCCTCTTTTATGGATGTTAAGATGGGACACGAGGGTAATTTTGTACCATCCAATGGAGTGGAAGGTTCATAACCCAAAATAGGAGGCCTGCTAAACAACACATGCGACTATTTTTACTTTTCTTTTGAACGACTATTTTTACTTTTCTTCAATTGATACTGAATACAACCAGTATTACCTGAACTGATTGGAGTGGGAGGTAGTTTGCTGGTTTTCTCTAGATATAAGGGAGGCTTCCCACTAGGTTTTTTGTTCTGATCGGGTTGAACCAATACTGTCTGATTAGATTTTTCATAAGGCTGCCTTGGGACCCAATGGTATATACATCCACTAACATTGAAGTAACAAGCTTTCTTACCTAACAATTCGAAATTTACTTGGGGATGATCTGACCTCTAAACAATTTTGCAAATGAAAAAGAATTTGGTAAGGATATTCTAACTAAAATTTGATTATTATGAATTTTTAAAAAAATTAACTTTATTTTGAGATGATTATAATGTATGTGTTATTTGATTATCCATTTATTATATTCATCTAAAAAATATTAAGGGGTTTAAAATAAAATTTAATTTTCCATTGTCATACTCTCTAATATTATTATCACTGATGCTTGACTGAATTATTCATAAAGCTTTATTGTTGCTTAAATAAATGTGCGGTATTTGTTAATACTGCCGTAGGATCTTTTGTCTCTTTGCACACGCATTTGTGGGAGCAACAATTATTATGTCCTCCGACCGGATGCAGAGGAACATTCGGTCGTAGGCAAAATCCCGCCTATACCGAGGTGTACCGAGTTTTTTTGGAAAAACTCGGTACACCTCGGTATAGACGGGATTTTACCTACGACCGAATGTTCCTCTGCATCCTTACACCGGACCAAATAAAAGTGGGAGGGTGTAAACGATACAGTTTGAGTTGAATATTCCCTTACAAAGCTCATTTAATTCTTATTTGAACGCAACTCACTTTGGATTATTAGTTGTGATTTGGAAGTTTAGCTTACCAACTAAGAGGTCTTAAATTCGAGTTTTTGTGTATGTGATGTGTGTGAGTTTGTCTTGATTGGCCTAAATGTCCCAAAAAAATTCTTATTTGAGCTTGAGTTCATTTACTAAGTTTGAACTTGAACTCGACTCATTAAAAATTTATTAGGTGTAAACTCGATTTGATTACTATAGTTTGACTTAAGAAAAAAATTAAAAATGTTTAGTAAATATTTTTTTATATGTTATTCTAAAATTAATGTTGAAATATATTTTGAACTAAATGAGTAGCTTGACAAGATTATGAGTTGAGCTAGGTTGAACTTGTAACTTAAGGCTCAATAAGGTCATCTCATGTGCTTGTTAATGAGTTGTGATCAAGCTAACTCGCCAATTGTTTTGGCCCACTTACACCCCTAATTAGTGGTATGATAAATTACACTATGTTGTAATAATTGACTAGAAGCATGTCATTTTTAGAGATCGTTTTATCATCCAATTAGTGCCTTGAAGTTTTCAAATATTTTTCAGGTCATTAATTTGGGCACATTTGGTGGATTGAATCAATTTTGATGTCGTTGGATTCGTATCGTTGACACGTTCCATTTGGCTATAAGTTTGTTAAAATTGGAATTTAGATGGTCCCAAATTTAATCTTGAAAATTTTCAAGTTGAAAAATATAACGAGATTCACACCTGTCCAAGACAATATTTACTGACATATCAATACTAAGGATAAAAATTAACTTGTAAGAAACTTGAAAATCTATTACCAAGAACTACTCATATTTCATCAAGCCTTTATCCTACTAGATGGGGTTGACTACATAAATACTTTTTTTCTCTAACGTGTCCTCTTAAGAATTACATTTTCATTTAAATCTAATAAAAAAAATCATTTCTAATTATTTCTAACCATTTTTTTTAGGTCTACGTATACTTTTCTTAACATAGGCCAAATCTAATACATCTACTCTTCTTATCGGGTTGTCAAAAGGTCCATATTTTATGTGACGAAATAATCTGAGGTGACTCTTTCTAATCTTATTTTCCACTAGGGCTACTCCAACCTTTTCACATCGATACTCATTTCACATTCTATTTATAAGAGTGAAGAGCCATTCATCCACCTAAGCATCCTCATATCGGCAACACTTAATTTAATTTTATGCTTCTCTTTTAATGGCCAACATTGTATAACATAAAGCATTGCATTTCTCACCACCATCTTATGAAAATTTTCCTTAAGTTTGAAGGATACTTTTTTATCACACAACAGGTCTGAGTCCGATAAATTTCCTCCACTTCAACCATCCAACTTGAATTCTACTAATAATATCCCCGTCTATGTCACCATCACTTTGAACAATAGATCCAATATATCTAAAATGTATACTTATAATAATAACTTGATCGCCCAAAATCACAACTCTCAATAGATCTATTACTATTAAAATTATATTCCATGTATTTGATTTTAGATATACTCAAACCAAACCCTTTATACTCTAAATTTGACCTACAGAATTCTAGTTTATCTTTAACTCCCTCTCTAACCTTGTCAACAAGAAGAATATCATCAGCATAATAATTAAAAAAAAAAAACTAGATCTGAATAATAATAAGTTGTTGCAGATTTTATTAGAATGATATATGCAAAATAAATCAGCAGGCTCTATTCAAATAATTCATCAGAAACTTAATAGTCATAATTAAAGCACTGTTTTGCGCAAGATTCACCATCTACTTAAGACTAAGTACCTATTAAAAGATAATGGTGCGGGTGCAATCGATGATGGTGGTTAAATGCAATAGAATTTTTTAACGTCTTAACTCTTGAACACATCTCATGTCGAAAATAAAGTCCTGTTTATAATTTTTTATTTTTTTTTTTAGTTTTAGAGGAATATTTCGATAAATTTGACCTAAATCCAAAACATTTCATTGCTCTAGATTATACGAGCAATGTCTAGTGCACGAAAATGGTCAAGCCCTCCTATATGAGGCGGCTTTCTTAATGCTTTCTAAAGCGACTTTCTAGTACAAAAATTTCTAATTCAAAACTTTTTTATATGCTGCAGATCACAAATGTTTTTCAGTATTCAGGAGCAAGATTGATAGAGCTTCAATATTAAAAAAATAAAAATAAAATAATTGTCACCCTCACCCATATATATTACCTCACCCATATATATTACCTATGTGATAATCTATCTATCAGCAGCTAAAAAGCATGAAGACCAACATAACCACTCAACCATAAAAAATGGAAGGAGCCTCAACTGGAAAATCAGGATCAAGGAAAAGAACAGAATGGTCTGGTGTAATTCAATCAAATAGTTTGAATCTGATTTGATCCCAAGTTGAGCTAAATCTTAATTATAGGCTAGCAATTTATAATCAAGCAGGTAAACTCAAAATGAATATATAGCAAACAATTCATAACTACAAAAACAGAGCTCATTTATGCGCAGTCTAGCAAAAAACAAAATGCATTCTGACTAACAAAAACGAAGTGTTGACAAGTACAAGATAAAATGTCATATACTCTCCTCACCATGACAAGAAGAGAGCAAGCAATTTTTTCTGTCATGAAAGAATAATAAGACCAATTGATATTATTTCTACCCAGACCAAACTATCAAAAGCTCAACTTTTCTTTGAAATGATCAAGATGGCTTGTTCTTCTGGTAGCGATCGCAACTCAATCCAACTTAACTGAAGAGAAGAGATAATGCACGAAGCAGAAGGAAGAGAGGAAGCCCACTGTACCAGTGGCGAGCATGATAGCCACAGCCATGAAAAGTGAATAACCAAGGTAGAGAGTAGCTGACACAGGACCACTTAGACTCTTGAGATCAAACACAAGATAGTTTACCGAGTAAAGCAATATGTAGATAGCAACTGATCCTGAGGAGAAGAATGATTTCCACCACCATTTCCAATCCTCAACACACAGGTGCATGTAAGTGAGAACCAGTGAAACCTCAGCACAAACAACAACAAGAAGGATCAAAACAATGAAGAGGAAACCAAAGACATAGTAGACGCGGCCCATCCACAAGCTAGACATAATGAAAAACAGCTCAATGAAGAGAGTACCAAATGGTAGAGTTCCAGCACCAAGAACAAGCAGCCAAGATGGGTATTTTTGGGGAGGGATTTCTCGCGGGATTTGATTTGTCCTTACAGGAAATTCAACATGACGTGCCTTGGCACCAAGGTAGCCACCAACAAGGGTCAGCGGCACAGAGATGCAGAACCACAACAAGAGTAGTATGATAAATAGAGAAAAGGGAATTGCACCAGTACTTTGACTACCCCAAAGAAGAAAATTTAGAGTGGTCAATATCAGAAAAGTTATACCAGGGAAGAAGCAAGCAACTTTCCAAGAAACAGACATCCAACCCGAATGATCCCCGCACTTAATCGTCTTCCAAAGCCTTACTGCTGCATAGCCAGCTGTAATTCCAAGAATCAAGTAGAAGAAAATCATACCAGTAACAAGGGTCCCTCGAGATGCTGGCGACATGAATCCAAGAGCGGCGAACAATATGGTCACCACTGCCATTCCAAGTATTTGTACGCCATCTCCAACCATCACACAAAGCAGAGTTGCATTACCAGGCGCACGGAAGACATCCCCAACCACAAGCTTCCACCCGGAAAGCTCCTCATTCATCTGGGCCTGCGCCTCTTTGTCCAATTCTTCGTAACGGGTCAAGTCCCGCCGAACAGTTCTAAGCAAAATCAGCAGGACTATTCCAGCGAGGAACGCAATCACCATGAGGGAGTTAAGAATCGAGAACCAATGTACCTTTGCGCCCTCCATCTTCAGATAAGCATCCCACCGCGACGGCCAGCGGATGTCACTCTCGACGAAGGAGACCTCATAGGTGAAGACCAGAGGCTGCTTCTCCTTCACGTCCATCGCAACGGTGGATGGCACGCACTTGATCTTTGTCGGGTACTTATCGTACATCTTGAGATTCTTGATCGACTCTGTATCATGTTGGAAGCTGCAGGGTATAACCTCGAAGCCAACCACCATATAACCTGGGCCAGTGCGGCTGCCGTCGCCGGTACCGGCAGAGTTGGCGGATGCAGCGGCTACTGTTGCAGGCTCCTCGTATTTGTGGACAAGAACGGTGAATTTGAGGTGGTTGAAAATGAAATGGGAATCGCCGAAACGGACGCCGATGGGGTAACCGGTCCATCGGAGAACGAGATCCTCCTTCGTCGTGAAGCGGATTGCAGGCAGATTTTCAAGGAGAATATTAACCTGGTACATCTCGTCGATGCGCTTCTTGAGAAGGGCGAGATCGGCAGCGGAGAGGGAATCTATGCGGCAGAGGATTAGGTCGGACTCGTTAGTGAACATGCGAAAGCGGTAGGGAGAGTTCTCAATGCGGTCTCCCATCAGGAGCTCGCCGAGGTTTTCGGCGGAATCCTTGATGCCCTCGAGCGGTCGGCAGAAAGGGAGAGAGTAGTAGCCGAAGGGCATCTCAGTGTCGATGGAAGTGAGGGAGTTCACCTTCACAGAGAGGAGGTCCCCGATCTGATACTTGTGTGGGTAGCTTCCCGGAAGGTAGAAGCCATCAGAGGGGCAGGAGGCGAGGAAGATGAGGAAGAAGATGAAATAAGTGGCAGATCTGGGCAGCAGCGGCATCGGATCGCGCGGATCAAAGGCCGATGCGGGAAATTGAGGAAGCTAGGGTTTTAAGAGAGAGCTTCAGATTCGCAGATCTGGAGAAGAAGGCCAGCAATGGTGGAGCGAGAGAGAGAGAGAGAAGACTTGCATTTGAGTTGCATTTTATCGATGGGGGTCCTCATTTCAAGCTCCTCCCAGGAGCGGATTGCGCTGGGCTCTTTGGAGAAAAAAAAAAAAACCGTAAAAATTGGGGGATTTACATATATATTATTTTATTTACATATCTAATATTTAACATTTTAATATTTTATACATATTATCTTATATTATTTTAATATTAAATATGCTATTCATATTTTATTCCCAACACCTATATATTTCATTCATACCATCCATATTTAATATGAAAATAAACTATATGTGATATGTATGTAATATTAAAATTTTAGGTGTTAGATATGTAAATAGAATAGTATATAGTAGTATGTCTTTAAATCTCCTAAAATTAATGAAAAAAAAAAACTCAGTTTATTTCTAGATAAAAAATAAAAATTAGGTCTATTGGATTCTTGATTCAAGAATCAACCAATTTTCAATTGAGTGGTTAAATTTTGAATATTATGATTCAAACCCTTTTGGCCTATATTCAAAAGATAGAAAGAATAGAGTCTCTGTTTAAAAACATGCTCCATCATGTATAACTAATTTATGAAATCATATGAATTTAACCCACCTTCAAACTCTAGAATATCAATCTTAATCCATAAATTTTGATACTTTATAATAGGTTCTCTTCTACGATAAGACTCATCTTCATTAGATGATTTTTGAAATGCTTTATGGAAAGGATTTTTCATTTTACATTCATCATGGTGCTTATCCGAATGAAATGAACGATAATTTCTATCTTGTCACTCGTAGGCTGCTAACTGAGATTGGAGTCATTGGATTTCATGGTGTAATTCTTCCATAGCTAACCTTTGGTTTTGATGAGGTTGGTTTCTATTAGGAGGCATTCTAACCTAGGGCTCTAATACCAAAATTTTTTACACCGTAAAGAAATAAAGGCATCGAGAGTTTGATGTTGGTGGAATCCTAGACCCTACCACAACCCTCACCATTCTTCTCTCAAGTTTAGGGGATATCCACCCCAAGAAAAAGAAACATTCCCCTTCTCTCAGATTTCTAAATCTGAAAATGAAATGAACCAACTACCCCTCCACCAGATTAGACTTGGTATTTATAGGAAATAACTTAAGGGCTAAAATATACTAATTACTAAACTACCCCTAATAAAAATATGATAAAATGGAATATTATTTATTTATTTCTTTTGTTAATAGAAATGGTCCTCCTTATTAATTAGTGTCGCCATGTTGAATTCCAACGCCCTATCACTGCAACCCCCAAAGTTGCGGCGCTCAAAATCACAACAACATAGCACATCAGTTAAGAAATTTCAAATGTTTCAAATGAATCCATTTAAGAACTATTGGTTGTTACACACTGGCCCCTCCCCCTTCCTTTTCTCACTTATTTTGAGTTTGAATGTCAAGAGGTGTATCTCTTTGACTTGTGTTATATGTGTAACACATTTTGGAAAGACATTTACAAGGAGATTGGTAGCTTAGTGGCCGACCAACACAAGTGGATTGGGAGATCATCATGACCCAGTAGAGTTCAATTTTTTATATATATTTTTTTCACTACAATTTTTATGGTGTGTTCAAGTGTATATAACTTATCTTAGAAAAATCAAAATTATGACGCCCACCCTTAAAATCCAAGTCAAATCACTATATCTTGGGCTGTCAAAAACTTCTTTTCTTTTGCTAAACTAATTTTATTCCTACAAGCATTTTACCACTCTAAACTATGATAAAATTCCACTGAAATCTTCATATCTATAGCTAATAACCTATATTTCAATAACCCTGAACTCATTTAGGGTTGTTCTGTACAAAATTCTAGAAAATAAATCAAACCTAGTCATTTTTTAATTTATTGTTTTAGTCATATAACTTGTTTCTAGTCTACAAAAAAAAATATCAAAACTTTACAAAAAATTCTAAAACCTTCTACATCTCTTTTGCATGCTAGAAAATTTGAGTCGATAAAGATTATATTTTACGTCTTAGCAAAATTCAGCACGAACAGATAACAATAATAGGACGAGAGAATTTTTTATGTGGAATACCTAGAAAGGGAAAAACCATAGGGCCTTATATAGTTGCAAATTTTACTATGTAATATGTAATACAAAAATCCTCATTTCTTCATTGTTGAAGAATAGGAAAATACAAAGTTCAAAAATTTGAACCAAACAATAGGGACAAATCTTGATATTATTCTAGTGATGTTGGTGATTTCTAATGTCAATCATTGGTGATGATGGTAATTGCCAGTGGGAGTAACTGGTAGTCATTGGCGGCAAAGATGGCTAGAAAATGTAGGAGAGCACTTTAGTTTCTCTCATCTTTTCCTATTTCTTCTTCCTCCTCCTTTTAGTGAATAATGAGGGGTCAATTTATAAATTTTTGGGAGTGACATTACTAGTAAATAGGGAGAAGATCAAGGGTATGTTGAGAGTGTTTCAATGGATGGCCTATATCAACTCCCTTGATCATAAATCATTTATCAAGCTTTTGAGTGTCCTAATAATGTCATAATTCGACGATCTTAGGCTCATTGAATAGCAGATCGATTTGATTATAAGCATGTCACATTTGTATATCATTTGGTCATCCAATTTATGCTTTGAACCTTCTAAAATGCATTGAGCCCTCGATTTGGACTCATTTATGCTCAAATTGGATCGTTTGGTGTCATTAGGTTCATCTCTTTGAGATATTCAATTTGACTATAAGTTTGCTAAAATTAGAGTTCTGATGGTCCCAAATTTTATTTTGAAAGTTTGCGATTCATATTTGCATCAAAATTCATGCCCAATAAAGATTACTTTTTGATTACATATCAATTGCTCCTTTTTTTTTATGTTTTAGACTATATGTTGGAGCTTTTTTATTTTCGGGTAATTAAAAGTTATGACCGCTCCTTGGACATCAATGTGCTTTTCTCCTCATGAGTGTGAACTAAGTAAAATACCCTTGATCATAAATTTAGCATGTCCTAAAGTTGGCATGTCGAACACAGTGAGAAAAGTTTAAAAATTACATTCTAAAATTTTTAAAATTACTTGAAATTGACTGTAAAAGCTCTGTTTGGCTTTGAAAGTGTCAAAATTAAATTTGAAATGTCAAAAAGTGGTTATGAGGACTCCCAAAATATCTGAATCGGGCTGTCCGGGCAAAAAATTCGGTCCAGACGCAAACTGGTCATCGAACTGGCCGGCCACCCACCTCCGGCAAGCCAATGCACCCCTTCTGCTTCCGCAGTTATTGTATATATATATTCAATTAAATTAAAAAAAAAATTGAAAAAATTCTTAAACATTCTTCCCCCATCCTACACATATAAATAACCCCCTAGGGGTAACGAAAGAGTCGAACTCCGCTTCCTCTTTATTTCTCTTTTTTTTTTTTTTTTGAATTAGAGGCATTCCACTATCTTAGCTAGAGAATATCTCCTTTAGTTCTCCTCTTTATGTAAAAGGAATTTATCATGTCTTCCTTTTTCTTCTCACGCATATACCTTCCCATATTATAGGCACTCCACTATCTTTGATAGGCGACATCCTCTATCAAATTTCAGTACTGCTCTTTATGCAGAAGGAGTAGACCTTGCATTTCTTCTCCTTCTCCTATGCACTTTTTCTTACATTAGAGGCATTTCACTATCTTGAATAGGTGACATCACCTATCAAGCTTCAGTGACTATCTTTTTATAGAAGCAGTTTCAATGAGAGGTCAATTTTCTCCTAAACAACTTATGAAAAAAGAAGATTAACCACCTATTGTATAAAATGATGGTTTAAATAGATCTAGAAGTAGTAGCACCCGAGGAAGAATCGATGAACTTCAACATATGGGAAGAAGTTTGACGACGATTGATAATTGGAAAGAAATCTGACATTCTAAAATTGATCCTTTGATATAAGGAATTAGCTAGCATGTTGAAGAAAACCTAACGTAGGAGATTATTTATTATCCTAATGTTGACATTTAAGTAGGGAGCTGTAGGCGACATTCATGATTTATTTTATTGGAGATAACATGCTAATGGACTAGATGGTGGATATCCTGATTGTGGGGATCAAACACTGTATCGACCACAACAGTTTAACAACACACTCATGTTGCTAATTAAGTGAAGGTCAGATGATCAGGTGATGGTTTGCAAAGAGTTTTGTGATGTGTTGATTTTTATCCAAGAAAGGTTAGATCGGGTACGTGCTCTTCCACTATGATTTATTATATTACATGAGATAATATTGATGAAAGCACTTCATTTTCATTTCATGTACTTTTAATTTTAGCTACTTATGAAAATGATTATATACTTGAAGCTGATGTAGAATTTTACTATGTTGACTTCATGTAAATCCAATGACGTTGTATATGACTTTGATGTTTGCTTTTGAAGTAAGAACGACTACTGATTCATATAATAATATTTATTTGTACATTTACGCCTAAGTTAAAAAAACTTAATTGGATATATTTATTCCTTCTACAACTTTTAACTTCGATGATTAAAAAATATATATATCTTCTAAATAATTTAGCCTTATGGGATTTTTTAATAAGTGGCGACCCTGTCAATCATTTGTACTCATGGAGTCTTTTTAGTAAGGACCTTGTTTACTACTAGTTTTTTCTTTGAGGCTACCCCATTGGTGTGCCCCAGGGTTATTATTAAAGCATAATGATGTCACTTTACATTGAAAAAATCAGACAAAATCCACAATGGATGTTTTACCTATCCGAAATTATTTGTTAGAGCATTACTTAATAAAGCTAATCGGTGTGGAATAGGCTGAGATAATCTACCAAAGATATTTGACCTATCTAAGGTTATTTGTCAGAGCATTACTTGATAATATTAACCTGTGTGCAAAAGGCTAAAAGAATTTGCCAAAAATATTTGACCTATCAAAGACTATTTATCAAAGTGTTGCTTAATGACTTTAATCTATGTGGAAGTAACCGAGAGAATCCACTAAGGATATTTGACCTATCAAAAGTTTATTTTAAGAATTTAACCTATATGGAAGAGGCCAAATGACACCACTAAGAATGTT